TTCTTTTTAAAAATAATTTATTATTACTGTCGAAATTGATGTAAACAATAACAGTAACATATTATTTTGTCAATATTGTCTAAAAAAAAGAAGATATTTTATTTTATTTTTACTCAATTATGTATTTTCTCCTCAAGAGATTTATGAAATAAAATAAATTAAATTGTATTTTTTACTAAATAAAGGTCTAATAGAAAAGTTTCAATTAAATTTCCCTTTTGACATTGGATGTGCCGAGAATCATGTTAATACGAAAGACATCTCATATCTACCCACATAATCTATCTTATTCTAAATTTAAATAAAGTGCAATGTGCAATATGTTTCAAGAATTTAATTTGTGGGACATTTTCTTTTGAGAGCATAGTATCATTTTTTAATTATGAGTAAAAAATACCTTATTCATTTTCAAAATAGATACTTTTGGAAGATCAAAAAAAAAAATATATATATATATATATATATACAGCATGTTATTTTTAAAAGTTGATTAAAAGTTAACTTTTTGACTTTTATAACAAAAAATATAAAAAAGTAAAAAAATTAATGTGACTAAAAATAGATTAAAAGTCAAAATTTAATTTTTAACCAAATTTCTAAATTAGGCCAGAATAGACAATAGCCTCACACATAAGGGGAATGATATCATAACAACCCTTATTAATTTTGTTACTAATTATGATCAAAAGTAAGTTTTTAAAAATTATTTTTCACAAAAAGATAAAATAATACAAAAATAATAGACTCTTAAAATTTTCATTAATTTTTTTACTAAATTAGTTTTATCGAAACGAAATCATCCCAAATCATCTGCTTAAAATTGTTATGTATATCTAAATTAATCATAGAGAAAAATAAAGTTCAATAACATCTACTTGCATATTATCAATAGCATTGCTTAACAAATTAATCAAAGTTCAATAAGGGTATAATTTTTATAAAATAAAAAATAAAAAAATAAAAAAATGAGAAAATGGAGTCGTTGGACACTCTATTCTCATCTATCTCAATGTTGCTTTCTGTCTCTTCAGGTCATAAATCACATCATTCTTCCAATCAATTTATGTGGCCTACAGCAAAAATAATTCTAATCATATATTTGGTTTCAGTTTTTTACATTTAGTTTTTTAAAAATTAATTTTTTAATTTTTTATTTGGACAAATTACATACACGAGATTTACCAAAATTACAGATACTTCTTGAGATTTGAGAAATTAAAGATACCCCCTGAAGGTACTATTTGCATAACAAATTAGGAGGCAAATTGTTATGAAAATATAAACCTCATGGGGTAATTTGTTATGAAAATAAAAACTTCAGGGGGTATCTGTAATTTTCAAAATCTCAAGAGGTATCTGTAATTTTGCTAAACCTCGAGGGAGGTAAATGTAATTTGCTCTTTTTATTTTTAGTAAATATTTTTAAAATTTTAAGCAATTTTTTTTTACTTTTTAAATGCACTTTACTTAGATATATCTAAATAAAATATTTTAAAAAATTAATAAATACATAAAAATATTTAAAAAATATACTGAATTTTTATATTTTTTGTATTTAGTAAATTTTAAAATATTTTTTTCACAAAAATTATACATTTTAAGTATATTTATGTTAGGTGTATGTAAAAATTAAAAAAATTACTTAAAATATTAAAAAAATCAGTGAAATGAAATAATATGGAAAACGAAATTAAAGGCTATTTTCTAAAAAGTAAATTCTGAAAATTGAAACCAAACAAAATGAGACTATTTTGGTAAGTAGCTAAAATAATTTTAAAATAAAAAATTACTATAAAAAATCAATTATTCTCTTTATATTCTTTTTATATTTTTTCATAAAAAATTTTAAAAATAATTAAAATAGTTACTTTCCAAACTAATCTTATCTATTTTTTATTATGTTATATATATTATAATTTTTATCTAATGTGTTAATAGCTTATTGATAATAAATATGGACAATGAAATTAAAGGCCTGGATGGTGTTATTTGTGGCCCTAGGACTTACCACAAATCTCATTTAGATAAATCGAATAATTCATTTTATATATATATTTTTTTTGTATGTATCAACTACACACTAAAAAAAAAAAACAAAAAAAAACAAATTCAATAATCCTAACATATTCAGCCTCCGTTTGGGAAGTGGGTTGATTTTTTGGCTTTCTAGTTTTTTTGGTTATTTTAGCCTGAGCTAACAAGCTTGGTTTGAGAAGGACTTTTTGATTTTTTGACTTTTTTGTGAGAGAAGAGTGTAATGATTATGGATTGAATGTGATATTTTGTTTGTTGCGACTAACAAGCTTATTTTAGCCACAAAACCACTTATCGCATTAATCTCTAAAAAAAAGAGAATGATAACTATATTTTTCAAAATAAATTATTCATTTTTTTTTTGGGTGTGACAAGCACTATTTTTAAAAAAAGTTATGATTATTGAATCGAATTATTTTTTTTAAAGATAATATACATGAAATATTTTACAAAATAAATAATTTAAATTATCAAAAAAGAGAAAGAGAGAGGAGAGATGCTGCCGGAGAGAGGTTGGAGCCCCGTTTCTCCTCCCAAATGGCATTTTCACTCAGCAACCCCTAGGACAGAAAAACTTATCAAACAATATCACCTTACACACCAAAATTTTGGTGTATGATACACCGACAATTTGAATTTTTTTTATTGTTATTGTTCAAACAATAAATTACTATTCAAACTCAAGTGTTTTGAAGATTTTATTGTAAAAAAATTAAAATATATTTTCAAAACATAAAATCAATTACAAAATTAAAAACCACTCGAATTTAGAAATTCCATTGTAATTGTACTATATGGTTAAAATCAGTGATTATTGAATAATATTGCAATGTTATTCTACAGTTGTTTTTTTTTTACGCAAGATTGTAATTTTTTTTTTTTTTTTTAATCTTCAAAAGATAACGGTTAATATATTAATTGTTAGACTATAACACAAGTCAATGTTTGACTTCAACTTTAAACTTCACTCATTTTGATGAATAATAATTAATGAAAGAATATAGCTATATAATAGTGTTTTCGGAGTAGTTAATAATTTTCCTATTTTGACACCTCCATTTGGACAATTAGACTGAATTATTCTACATTACTTATCACTTGCACTTATTAAAGGTTGGTTTGGGGTGTCCTAAAAAAGTGCACTTTTTGTCTTTTTACGAAAAGATGTGCAGAAAAGTAGAGAGGTGATGTGATGGAAAAAAGATAAAAAGATAAAAAATGTTTCTTTTAATGACTTCAACTTTAAACTTCACTCATTTTGATGACTAATAATTAATGAAAGAGTATAGATATATGGTGTTTTAGGAGTAGTTAATAATTTTCCTATTTTGATACCTCCATTTGGAAAATTACACGGAATTATTCTACATTACTTATCACTTGCACTTATTAAATTATTCATAAAAATCTTAACAAAAATTATTGAGCCTCACCATTTTAACCGATAAATATTGATATAAATTCCAAGATTGCTATATTTTTTTTTTTGGGTCTTCCACGGTATCTCCAGGTTTTTTGGATCCAGGACTAATCCGCCGAGGAAGCTGTCGGGCGCAAATGCAGGGTCCTCTCCCAAAGGGGTTTGCTGTATTCACAAAGGCTCGAACTTGAGACCTTTACTTAAGCGACCCAAGTCCCTTTTCACTTGGACCAACCCCCATTGGTCCAAGATTGCTATATTCACGCAAATTGCTCACAGACAATTAAAATTTTAATAGATAAATATCTCCCATCAATCAAAGTCTCAATTATGTACTTTGGACAAAATAAATTATGTGAATAAATTATTAATACATGTACAAGCACGAAATAATGTTCTCGTATAATCCTGTTGATTAAGTCTGCGTTCCTCGAAACGACGTCGCTTGACTCCTGAAAACACAAGCGTGAGCTAGCCGGCGGGTGTATGCCAGATACCTCTCCGATGCCTAAGTCAGCAAAATAGACAAGTAAACAAAAAGTTCTGTGTATTCGAGAGTCAAAATTGTGTTACCTCTCCATAGGTGATGTTATGAGCTTTTATAGGTTTCGCCTGGCACAATCCTAGTAGGACTCTTATTCCTCCATGTAGAGTCCTCATAGGAATCACACTTCTGAAAGATAATACTTATCCTTCAACATCCCCTCACTGCTTAAACCAAGTGAGATGGTTTTACCTCGGTAGTACGACAAAACGACCAGGCTATCATAGCCATGCTAAACTGGCTGAAATGACCGAGCCTTTACCTAGCTCAGTTCTCCCTTTTATTGCGTGTACATCGGCTTCTCCTGTTGAGACCGCGCTAACCATAATGAGCTTGGACCGGGCTAATCCGTAGCAAGGTTTTGAGAAAAGCTCAAAATACCTTGGCTCAGAAGGGTATGACCGAGCTAATTGCTATCATTCTGACATTGGTGACCGAGCTAATCCACAAGGCTCTTTTGGACCGGGCTAACTTGCAAGCTCTTTCTGGACCGGGTTAACTATAAAGCTCTTTTACTCAGCCCTTTTTACTGCGGCCCACAGAACGGCCCATCACCCAGCTCGGCCCAATTTACATATAAATTACTCTCTCAATACATAAATTTATCTAATAGAATTATGTTAAAAATTTTAAATAATTTAATAAATTTTTAATTGAACTTCTCATATGAATATAAAATTTATATATATGTAAATTTATATCTATATAAGAAGTTTAGTAAAAAATTTGATAAATTATTTAAATAATAACAATTTTCTACCTAGGCCAAGTTTGGCAACGTCAAAATAATCCATATTTTTATCTTTTCTATCTTTTTTTCATCACATCACCTCTCTATTTTTTTACACATCTTTTTATAAAAGATAAAAAATATATTTATTTAGATCATCCCAAACAACCTTAACAAACACCACGGTATAATTTCTAGGTTAAAAGACTCCACTGAAATCATTAGGGGTGTTGAAAGCTGGGTACAGATTAATAACAATTAATGCGGAAAACAATGGCGTCGGTCACACTCTTCTACTTATATTCCCAAAAAAAATAAAATAAAATCAGTCAAGAGGCCAGCCTTGCTCCGTACACATACCAGTTCATCTCTCATCCCATCTACTCTTCCCCCCTCCTCACCACACCAAAACGGGCAAAGCCCTCGGTTCCAGTCCAACTCCATTTATATATAGCACAGCTGTCACAAACTTTGCCTCGAAACTATCTCATTCATGTGCATAACTGTCACGATTCCCTCTGGATTCACCACCTTCTCATTCACATGAACTCTTCTTCTTCTTCAATATTAACTATTACCAGTACAATCTTCCCTTTGATTTCTCAGATTTGACAGCGTAGCACCACCAGATCTGTTTTTTCTGTCAAGGTTCGGCATCGCCGGAACATGGACGGCGTTGGTGATGGAACGATCAAGTTGGGGACTCTCACCACCAGACCCGATCGCCGTTTCAATTTGGACCCGCCCGAAGCCTCTGTTTCGTCTCCTGTCACTCGTCAGAAAGCCGCCGCCGCTAAACAGTTCATCGAGAATCACTACAAGAACTACCTCCAAGGGTTACAGGATCGTAAAGAAAGGTCCAATTCACTTCTCTCTCTCTCTCTCTCTCTCTCTCTCTATATATATATATATATATGTATATGTGTAAGTGTTTGTTGTATTGTTGATGTTTATGGAGATGTGTTTGTTTGGATTAGGCGGCGAGAAATGCAGAGGAAAGCGCAAGAAGCGAAGGTTTCGAGTGAAGAAGAAGAGGAGATGATGAGGGAATTGGAACGCAAAGAGACGGAGTTGATGAGATTGCAGAGGCACAAAATGGGAATCGATGACTTTGAGCAATTGATTGCGATTGGTAAAGGTGCGTTTGCTGAGGTATGTATTTATGTACCTTTACATCATCATTGTAGTCAATGGCGAATTGCATTTTGTTGAATTGTCATAAAGTATAATGCAATGCTTAATGAAATTTAATAGTAGCCTCACTAATTATATGTTTTCTATTTTTCACCTGATTTTTGATTAATTATGTTCTTAGTGGATGTGATGATTCAAAATTTTACCTACTCTTCATAGTCGAGGTGGCCACAAGCTGCCTCGTACACCTAAGTTGTCAATATATATATATATATATATATTCTCGAATGGCAATTTGTTAGACACGAGTTGAATTTGTTTCCCTGAACCATACACTAGCAATGAAGTTTCTGAAATCAGAGCATTTGGTTTAATTCCTCAAAAAATGACTCGAGCATTTATTGGAATTTTTAGATGTCTTTTATTTTTCCTTAAGAAAGTATTTTTGTTAGTCCCTCGTTTTCAATATTTATCTAAGAACTCAATTTGGGGCATGTTCACCCTGTTCACATCTGAAGCTCCTTGATTTAGTTTCAGACTTTAGTATTGACTGAATCACTATCTCGTTGTTATCTCTTGATTTGAACAATGGTTTGCTTTGCTTGTGGACTTTACTTGAGTTTTTCTTTCTTTTTTGTTCTTTTTCTTGCTCTCAATTTGAACAATGATTTGCTTTCTCTCACTATCGATTAAGTGAAGGTAGTTACGGTTGCATCTTTTATAGGTGATTTGACTTATGATCCGACTAAGTAATGCAGGTTTGGCTATGCCGTGCCAAAAGTACAGGAGAGATTTTTGCAATGAAGAAATTGAAGAAATCAGATATGCTTAGCCGTGGACAGGTGAACTTGCAATTAAAGCACAATTAACTTTTGCTAATGATGCTTTCCCTTGTAGTATTATTGAAGCCTTTTTTAGTATCTTTGTTCAGGCTATATGTCTTCCATTATATATTTAAAGATTGAGATTGGTTACTATAAAGAACATGACAAAATATGAGAGAGCTAGAGAGAGAGAGAAGTACACACTTGTGTATAGTTAAAAAGGTCATAACATCTTGGTATAACTTAGGAGAGGTGAATATCCATGCTAACTGCCCAATTCACATATGCTTTCATTTTCATTTCAGCAATATAAATTATCTAGGATTTCTGCCTTTTTTGTTTCTTTTTTTTTTCCTTCTTTTTCCCATCCCCTGAATGTCACTTTCGAGACAACCAAATAACAATAAAATAAAACTGGATATTTGTTCAAAGATATTCAAATGCATTATAGAAAGCAATTGTCGTGGTTTTTACCCATTTCTTTGAAAGAAAAAGAAAAAATAAAATGAAAAGAATTTTCAATTTTTTGTAAAAAATATTTGTCTCTGAGCAATCTTGTTACTGTTTCTTTTCCTTTCTTTTCTTTTTGCTTTTCGTTTTTCGTTTTTCGTTTTTCGTTTTGTTTTGTTTTGTGTGCGTGTGTGTGTGTGTGTGTGTGTGTTTTTTCCTCAGTTTTAACTCGATGAGTATATTGATAGAAGGATGAGTTCACATGACACTAATAGTTAATGCTTAAAAGATTATTCTGCTTCATCTTGTACCATGGCTTAGGAAGGTGTTCTTCTTTATTATGTGAAAAAACCCATTTCTGAGTCTGTTATTGAACTTTTGTTTATGCACTCAGAATTGAGTTATGCTGGTATTTTCTGAAAGTTGATCTGAATTCTGAAGTCAACTGTGCTATTTTCGTGCATCACAATTTGTAATTAAACTTTTACTACGTTTAGGTTGAGCATGTTCGATCAGAGAGGAATTTGCTAGCGGAGGTTGATAGCCGGTGCATCGTGAAACTCTTCTATTCTTTCCAAGATTCTGATTTTTTATACCTTATCATGGAGTACCTACCTGGTGGTGATATTATGACCTTACTGATGAGAGAGGATGTTCTTTCTGAAGATGTTGCACGATTTTATATAGCAGAAAGTGTTCTAGCTATTCATTCAATTCACCACCACAACTATGTGCATAGGTATTGTAGTATTGCAATGGGTTTTGTTTTTTTGCATCTTTATTTTTTTTACCCAAACCATTCAAGTGAAATTTTATCTACTTTTTCCCTAAAAAGAGTGTCAAATTACTTTAGTGTCTATAAAGTATTTTAGTTTTGCTTGATTTAGTAATTCGTGTCTTTAGAGTGCATCATTGAATGTAATTATGCAAATTTCAATTACATATTGTTATTTATCAAACCTATTGCAAGCACCACCAGAAGTTGAAAATTTATGGATAATTCTTCATATGTTTTTTCCGCTGCTAAAAGGCAGTCTGGGTGCTGCATGATGTCCATAATGTCTTGGCAATCTTTCCTTATTTTTTTTCTTTTTTTTCTTTTTAGTGGGAATTGTTTTCATTTTGTTGCGTCATCAGTTTCAAACTTGCCCATTTCTGGCACTTAAATTGGATGTTACAGAGGCTTTATGGCTCTTTGTTGACTTGTATGGTCTATAGTTTAGAGCTTATTATTTTTCATTCATGCATTATGGACTGTACCTCTGAAGGAAGTTTCAGCTATACTTCTGGTGTAGATGTCTGTAGAAATCATGTGCACATGTGGAAACATTTTTATATAATTTCTTTGCTTGCAGGGACATAAAACCAGATAACCTGATACTGGACAAAAATGGCCATTTAAAGCTCTCAGATTTTGGCTTGTGTAAGCCCCTAGATAATAAATATTCGACAATATTGTTGGAAGATGAAGATTTTTCAACCCAGGATTCAACACATGACAATGAAGGGCATTCTAGCTGTGAGAGGCCTCCTTGGTTAATGCCAAAGGAACAATTACAACAGTGGAAACGCAATCGCCGTGCATTGGTATTCTCTTTATTTTCTTTCTTCAGATGCCTATTTGTATCCAAGTAACAAATAGCGGTGTGAAATTATATAATTTGACATTCTTTTAGGTTTTACTTGTTCTCATCTTCACCTCCTGCTGTTGTTGTGAGTACTTGCTGTGTTCTGTGTTCTGCAGGCATATTCTACTGTTGGAACTCTCGATTATATGGCACCTGAAGTTCTGCGTAAAAAGGGATATGGAATGGAGTGTGACTGGTGGTCATTGGGGGCAATCATGTATGAGATGCTCATAGGCTATCCACCCTTCTGTTCGGAAGATCAAAGGATGACATGTAAGAAGGTATCCTAATCCCTTGTAGTTCCTAGTGTCTGATTCTTGGAAGATAAAAGAAAATTTTTATGTTTTCAAGCAGGAAGATGAGAATGACATGAAAAAACATTCGGTGAAGCATTATCTAAATCTGCCATCAAGAAATTTTCTTGAAGCTGGCTATTTTCTGTAAATGCTAAATTGACTAGTGAAACCAATTTTATTCAGAAAACTATGTAAAACCTCGATCTGAATTTCCCTTAGTTATTTTTATGCATATCCTTCATTTTGCAGGATGTATCATGTTTCTTTTTTTGTGTCAGATAATTAATTGGAAAGCATGCTTGAAATTTCCTGAGGAGCCAAAAATATCAGATGAGGCTAAGGATCTAATCTGTCATTTGTTATGCAATGTTGAAACAAGGTTGGGAACCAATGGCGTGGAAGAAATAAAGGTAATAACCTAATGAAAAATTGGATTTTCCCCACACTCTACATGTCAGGTGAACTTGTTATTTCTGAAAATGTGAGCTGATGCTGTTCTGTTTTAACTCAATGTGTGTCTAGGCACATCCATTGGTTCAATGGTTAAGACTTGAACCAATAACCTTGAGGTTATTGGTTCAAGTCTTGGGACCACCACTTTGCGCATTATGCCAAAGGTTTGATGTATACTCGATCTTTCCCTTCCCAAACACACAACAATGTGTACTAATTGAGCGTGGTTTTTTTTTTGTTTTTTGTGTGTGTCTAGGCACATCCATGGTTTAAATGCATTCAATGGGACATGCTATATGAAATGGAAGCAGCCTACAAACCTACTGTCAGTGGAGACTTGGACACTCAGAATTTTGAGAAGTTTCCTGAAGTAAGTACGTAGATCGTAATTGCATTCGATTTGTGGTTTCTTCTTTCCATTATGCTGTGTTCAGTAAATCAGTGCCTCACATGTTAACCCCCTAGTTGGATCATGCTTTTTTTAACACCTAGATCCCTGTTCTTGGTTTTCCCCCTTTCATTGTATCACTTCCAATTTGAGTATTGTGGTCAGTGGTAACACCTGCCCCCCAACACACACACACACACACACAAAAAGGACAAAAACCAAACACCGTAGAAGAGAAAAAACAGGCAGAAGAAGAACCTCAGCCATTTCTGAAGTATTATCCCTACACTTTACTATGTGAACTTGTCACAATCGCAATAATTTGCTTAAATTGCTTTCATTATTTTGTCTTGCCCCTCGCCCATATCAACTATGGATTTATTACAAATTTTAAACCGTGGTTTGGAAGTTTCTTATGGTTCCTGTTTATAATATAGTGTTTATTTTTTTTTTTTTCCTGTTTCCTCTCCCTTGAGTTTTTTAACATTTGCTGTTTGATAGGTAGGAGATCCACCTTCCATCATACCTAGAGTGGGACCATGGCGAAAGGTAAATGAGTTTTTGATCACTTTAAATTATTGGATCAATTTGGATTGCTAACATTGAAAAAACATGTGAAAGTAGAGCATTCATAACAGCCCATCTACATGTTTTATTAAAAAAAAAATTCATTGCAGCAAGTTAAATTTCCAAATAACTCATTAGTGTTTATTGAGCTTGTAAGTTGACACTTTGGGCATATTAATGTTAGAGTTGAGCTTTATTAGCTATGTTGTGGTCTCTTAGTATTTATTTGAACAGTGTTATTGCGAGTATTCGCACAGTTTGTAGTACATAACCTCGAAACTTTCCAAATATCAGTGTTTTAATGTACTTCTAAGGACGTGTGTATGTATATATATGTTTATATGTTGATAGGAGTTTCAAGAAAGAAAAATAAATTGTTTTACTCACCTTTAAAAATCTTGACCAACTAAGAAAAACTGGCTTGGTCTTCTGCATTGCGAACCAGAAACTAGACTAACAAAAGAATTACACGGTTCTGATTGAGAGTATAGAACAGGAGGATACTACGATATGTTGGTTTAAGTTACAAGGAAAGACATGGTTTTTAATCTTTTAACCAAATCAAGGATTTATGCAGCTTGCTCATAAGGCCTCATGTGGAAATTCTATCTATCCCAAGTGTTTTAACTTTGTTGCATAAATTACATTGAGATATTTAGTTGTTTAGCTCTGTTATGTTCATTGTGATAATTTATTATTCTAGTGTAAATTTGTTTCTTTTTAAGATATTATCATATATTTTGAAGTATGTTTTGCATGTCCAATTTTGCAGATGTTGACATCAAAAGATTCTAATTTCATAGGGTATACTTTCAAGAAATCTGACATCCCACAATCAGTTAAAACTTCAGGTGAGCTGCTTAAGTAGTTGTATTGATACTACTAATGCACGTTTTAGTATATCTAACTCTTCCATGATGAAGTTTCTTGATCTGTATCCAAAAGTGAAACTTGCAGATCCAGATTAAATGAAAACCACTTGCAATAAGGTAATACATGCCAATGGCCAAGGAACTGAAGTTGTGCGTAGATCGGACTAGGACTTGTGTGGTCACCTCTTAATAATCTGATTCTAGCATTGAATGTTATCCCAAAATAATCTGCCCTAGTCCACTGTTTTCCTACCCTCAAAAGTTATCCCTTTGTCCATTAGGGCACTAAACCCCCCAACCCAATAAAGGGTTTCATTGTAGTTATTTATTTCTTCATGAATTTGATGATTCACTGGCGAGGAACTTTCGATGGATGTTTTAGGGGATATATTCTCTTAAGAGTTCTCCTTTATTATGCTTGCGCTATTTGGGTTTAGTTGTTAGATTTGAGGATGTTTTGATGAGGAAACATTTTTTAAAAAAGTGATTAATGAAAGTTAAAAACAGTTGTGTCATGTTATATGTCCTTGTTCTTATATACAGCTGTGTTTTACTTGCAGATGATACTTTAAAAACTGCTATTCATCATCAATTATGGCCATGCCACTATTATTTTTTTCTTTTTTGGTGGATCTAATGCTAGTTATAGAAGCATCATATGTTCAATTTATATTCACTAGTTTCTGTGCAGGTACAGACATGAGATCAAATGGGTCTTCAAAGATGCCATCTTTAACGACCTTGTTTGGTATGTTAGAAAATTTTCTAAATACAGTTGTTTGTACATGTATCAGCAATTATTTATACTTAAAACACAAATTGCTATGATAAATATTTTAAATTACATTGATCGAGTTGCAATGCCCTGTTCTTATTAGGTTCACATTATCCTCTTTTCTTCTTGTAACATTTGGATTTTATATATGATGGCAACCACTTGTGTCTAAATGAAAAGCTTTGGATTAGTACAAGCGTTTTCACACTATCCATGATCCGGATTTTAAATGATAGAAACTGGTGATTGATGAGTGATGGTTTTTCTTCTTGTTACAGGCCAGATACGCCTGGAAGAAAATGTCTTGATGGAGGGTGATGAAAAGGAGGGAACTTGATCATCAACATTCAGTTGGCTTTATACCAGAGCTAGCATTCTAAATTCTTCACAGGTGTGATCTGAAATGTAGTAGCTATTATAGAAGACTGAACTTGGTACAGATTGCTGTCGAAAACATGGATAAAAAAAGGTCAACTTTCGAGTTGATATGATTTTGAGCACATTTTTTTGTTCTTCCCACCTCACCTCAATTCTGTGGTGTATAAGTGCCAATGTACAGCCAAAAGTATGTTCAGTTCATTCCAAGTATGGTCTCTTTCTCTCATTTGTTGGCAAGATATGTCCAAATATCAAATTTCTTGTTCAAATGTCTGATGTTGGCGAAAGTATTCGTTCATAGTTGATATTTAGTTTTGATGCAAATGAATTTTGTTGGGATAGGATTTTTATAGTTTTATTTACATTTACCATTTCGGTTGGTAGGTACGTAAGATCATGGCTTTTGCCATTATGATCTTTATGGCTGTACCTTGTCTGAATTACAATGACTAGAGGCAGACTCTTTTAGTGATTTTTTCATTTTTTAATTAAAATATGAGATGGAAAAAATTAGTATGTTTGGATTAACTTTTTATTTTTTTTAAGAAAATGATATGTGAAATGCACAGTAAATGAAAATAAATGTTTGACTTTTTAATATTTGTGAATTTCTAAACTTTTTAATAATTTTTTGACTTTTAAGTAAAAATATGAACTTGTCAAATGAGACCTAATATTTCGTTGCTCAAGTAGCATTTGAAAACTTTAATATTTCCTTGCTCAAATAGCATTTGTCAAATGAGAACTAATATTTCGTTGTTCAAGTAGCATTTGACAACCTTAATATTTCCTTGTTCAAATAGTATTTGTCAAATGAGACCTAATATTTCGTTGCTCTAGTAGCATTTGACAACCTTAATATTTCCTTGGTCAAATAGCATTTGTCAAATGAGACCTAATATTTCGTTGCTCTAATAGCATTTGACAACCATAATATTTCCTTGCTCAAATAGCATTTTTGAACTTCGAACAGAACTTATTCAATTTTTTTATTGGAATTTTTTTTTAAGGTTTTTGATATTAAGGGGTTGTTTGGAGTGTCTTAAATAAGTGTACTTTTTATCTTTTTAGACTAAGAAATTAAGAAAGAAAATATGGATGTTTGGATTAACTTTTTGACTTTTTATAGAAAAATGTGTAATAAAAAATTGTAAAAATTAATTTTTAAGGAAAAATTAGGATTGGGAGTTGTGCAGCCGTAATTGTTGACTTTGGGTGAATAGTGTTAACTTTTTAACTTTTTGAGTAACTTTTTGGCTTTTTGACTTTTTTACAATATGCCAAACTTGGCCTAAGATTTTATAAAATAAATGGCATGCAATATAATAATGTAATAACTTCAATGGAGGATGGGTCGGACTAATCCACGCTTCCAACGGATCTGCTAACCTTGATGTTTGTGAAAGGTGCCTGCAAAAAAGTCCAAAGGGGGAGATCATCCCCCGACGGACGCTCCGACGATTAAGTTAGGTTAGGGTAAATTGATTTTAGAGAGAGAGAGAGAGAGAGGAGTGAAAGGGATAAAAACTTAGCTTCTAACGTATCTCCAAAGCTTCCATATATCCTTTGCTCATCATTTCCTTATCTATTCTAAGCTGTCTTGTTGGTCAAAAGTCGATGGCCTGGTTAATATCGTTCATGGTAATTCTACATACTTCGGTGTAAGGGGTCTTGCTGCATTTAATGCTACAGTAGCCTCATTAAATTGCTGATGTGTGGGTGCAATAACTTTGTAGGATCTTTGTCTACTCACGTGGTTAATTCTCTACATGACAAGCGTTTAAATGCTATTGGTCCTAGGCCAGCATTGGCTTCTTAAAGTTACTAGGCTTTAACACTTGGGCCGTGAGCTGGGCCCTCTTGGGTGTCCATCAGTAGCAGTAGTTCCCCATTCCCAAGTGCAGCTTTAGTCCAACGAAGGGAATAGGAAAGGTGGAGGTAGTTCCCCAAGCTCGGGTTAGAGGCAGGGTAGGGGCAGAAGGGGGAGAGTAGTGGAATAGAGTTGAAAGACCGACCATCTGACCGGTGAGAAGGGTTGACCGTCAGGATGGCCGACTGTTAGAATGCCGACCATGAAAGTAACTGAGTAGGATGAGTGACCGGTCGGCAAGGATGATCGATTGTGAAGGGACCGAGTAGGATGACCAACCGTGAAGAGGACCGACTACGAAGGTGGCTGAGCGGGATAACCGACCATGAAGAGGGCTGATCACGACGGTCACCATAAATGCTTTGACGGTGCACGGGGCTCTAGGGGCGAGTAAGCTTGTGATGATGTGAAGTGGAAAAGACGGGGGAGAGGAAAGAGAATGAGTGGGGGGAGGGAGGGATCGTGGCCATACACTTAAGGAAACGTAGGCCACTGGTGAGTGATACAAATCGTTTGTAGAAGGTGAAAGGATTGGTGAGAGGGATGTGGAAAAGGCGGGGATTTGTACTTCATGTTGAATTTTCAAACTAGCGAATTTTAACTGCGATCCTTGGAAAATAGGCAAACCCTAGGCTTTTGGAGTTGTGGCTTTTTCATACCTTATTGTGAGGAACCAACATATCCTAGACTTTACCACGTTCGTCTCAGGTGATTCTCCACTCTACCATATTGTGAACTTCCTTGCCCCCTGCTACGGAAGCAATATACAAGAACGTAAGGGGAATGACACAAAACAAAGCGCCAACAATGGCGTCTGATACATTGGGGGAGGATGATAGGATGGCACTGGCAGAACAGTACAGGGTAGAGAGGGGCACGAAGTGACCAGCGTGGTCCCTTCTAGCAACAATGATTTTAGGGGTCTAGCCGATAAGTCAAGTGGCGCCTGATCACTGGCACACCAAAGCTGACAAGTCCACGTTAACAGCAAAGGATATGGAGGAGCCGCATAATAGATACTAGATTCCAGTGGATATACAGTTGAGAGTGCCCATGGCGAAAGAGAGAGCATCCGATGCGCGGCCAATGGAGTTTGTACTGTACAAAGAGGCATTGTGCGGGGGCCTGAGGTTGCCACTGCCCCCGCTAGTGGTAGATGTGTTGAACTGCCTAGAGGTGGCGATAGGGCAACTAATGCCAAATGCGTAGAAAATCCTGTTTGCCTGTGCAATCGTGTGGCCGAAGGGTAACCAAGGGAGAGGCGATGACGGCGGATGAGTTTTTTTCATGCTACAAGGCCTCAAGGCAATAGGAGACTTGGGTGACCCTGCAAGCGATATCGGAGAGGGAGTTGGTGGTGGGATTGCCCTGATCAGTAAGTGGTTTTTGTGTCGGTAAATGACAGGAGGAGAGTGCACATAATTTGGAAAGTTCCCACCAAGTCGTTGGAACCAAAGTCAGATGTTGCGGCGGAGATGAGGGTTAAGCGAGTGAATGAGTGGATGGAGAAAGAGGGATTAAAATAGGACGACTTTATCCAGCCCTTAGCCCTGTTTGCCCTAAATTTGGAGCCTGAGCCAACCGGAGGAGATCCTTCTCCAGACGAGGTGGAGGTAAGAGGAGAGCATAAGAGACGGAAGAGCAGTGCATTTTTGCGGAGGCCAAAAAATACAAAGAGAAACATTAGGCCCAACGCCTAAGCTGGTCACGAAGAGATTGATTCGACCACGATCAAAGCCCTTGGGAATGAAGGACTTAACAGACTTTGTTCCCTTGCAAGCGCCGGTGGATCCACTGAAGGAGAGAAACAAGAAGGAGGTGGATGAGGTGTTAAAGAAGAAGAAGTAAATGAAGGTGACTAGGAAAAATGGGGAAGAAAATGAAAGAAGGGTGGTGGAGATGCCCCTAGAGATTGTAGGAAAGGGGGCCAAGATTGGTTTGGAGGTAGAGGGGGTGCCAAGTGTGGATCAGAAAGGGGGAGTAAGAGAGGACAGATCGGCAAGCCTGCTTGCTATGGAGTTGCCCTCAAAAGACTTGCCTGTTAGCCAAAAGTTTGAGAAAGAGCAAGCGAGTGAACTAGAGAGGGGGACCATTGTGGGGTCATTGGGGATTGCCACTTATCATGTGAATGCGGTGGCTGGCCGCTTAGTGATAGATGAGGGCGACCCCTCTAAGGTGCAACAGGAGGCCAAGTGTCATGACCTAAACCCATCCCTATAGGTTTAGTGACGTAATCGGCCTAGAATCCTTGGATTAACGTAGGCCTCTCAAGGAAATAACACATAATTAGGGGCTGCGGAAGCAAATACATAATAATACTTAGTCTATTGAGCTGTGAAGATATACATGAGACAGATAATCTTAAAATTTTATAAAAGTGCGAGTGATACCAAAAGATACAGTATTTACACATCACTTTATATACATATTAACAAAAATAATCTTGTTTGAAAATCAAGAAACAAAGGCTATTACATTCACAAAAATAGCCACTAAACTGACTTAATCTGAAACCTCCTCGGGAGGCATAAAGGGTAGTTGACAAAAAAGACTCTTAGGCCATCAACTCTAGGCCTGGTCTCGCGCCTGATCACTTACATACATAAATAATATAAATAGTGAGCTGGAGCTCAATGAATAATAACAAGGTAAATGGGTTTATATTAGAACAGAGTCTTACGCATATTCAGATTTCAAATCAGAAATTGATTCATATATTTGTTCATATTCATTTTTGAAAGTTCATACATTTCACATCATAGTACGTGGCACATCCATTAGCGTTAACAAATCCGATGACCTTTACATAAAGGTATTCCGATGACCCATAGAGGGACGACCATAAAGGCATTTCGATGATTCATGTGCATAGAGACGTTTCTGATGACCCATAAAAGGATAGCCGTAAAGGTATTCCGATGACCCATAAAGGGACACATATCATATGATGTTAAGGATGCCACGAATACATTTCAGAAACTTGGACGATCATTCATTCACACAAAACATAGCATTTCAGAAAACTAATCATGTCGTACCACCAGAAAATAATTAAAGTTAAATATAACTTTACAAAGTTATTACTCACAAATAATAGGTGGCTCCAAATAAACGAATAGAGTAAGCAACTCAGATATCTTGTGGCGCGTGACCTACACAAGTACAAAATGAATTCATATTGAATTACACACCCGGAAACATTTACTTTGTTTTTTCTTATCTTGGTATGTTTCTATTTCTTTATCCTCATTATGATGTCTTAAACTTGGCTTAGGAATGCCTAGGATGAAAAAAGGATGCAAAAATGCACTTGGAAACACTTAACAAAAATTGCTGAAAACAGAGTCCTCGCTCAAGCGCAACTTCCTTCACTCGAACGGACATGCAAAATGTAAGTGGTCACTAGAGTGTAAGATCTGTCGCTCGAGTGGTCTGTAAACTTTTTCAAAAGTGTTGGTTGCTAGATTTTTCTGCTTGATGCTTACTCGAAAACCATTCCTAGCAATTCACAAAATCAAGGCCCAAAAGTAAATCAATTATGCAAAAATTCAACTTGAAATGTAAGGATATGACATGAACATGACATGCATGCATCCACTTGGGTTCATGGCTTCCAAAACATGA